CACATTCTAGCATCCGTTGTTACATTTGAGTCAAAAAAAAATTTTTGGTCCTGAGCAGTTTTTTTTCTGACCCCGGCATCACGCGTTTTCTTCCTCGGGCAGCAAAAACACTCGATTTTTAAAAACAGCTAATAATAACATTTTTAAGCATGGAATTCCACCCCGAATCACATTCTAGCATCCGTTGTTACATTTGAGTCAAAAAAATTTTTTTGGTCCTGAGCAGTTTTTTTTCTGACCCCGGCATCACGCGTTTTTTCCTCGGGCAGCAAAAACACTCGATTTTTAAAAACAGCTAATAATAATATTTTTAAGCATGGAATTCCACCCCGAATCACATTCTAGCATCCGTTGTTACATTTGAGTCAAAAAAATTTTTTTGGTCCTGGGCAGTTTTTTTTCTGACCCCGGCATCACGCGTTTTTTCCTCGGGCAGCAAAAACACTCGATTTTTAAAAACAGCTAATAATAATATTTTTAAGCATGGAATTCCACCCCGAATCACATTCTAGCATCCGTTGTTACATTTGAGTCAAAAAAAATTTTTGGTCCTGAGCAGTTTTTTTTCTGACCCCGGCATCACGCGTTTTCTTCCTCGGGCAGCAAAAACACTCGATTTTTAAAAACAGCTAATAATAACATTTTTAAGCATGGAATTCCACCCCGAATCACATTCTAGCATCCGTTGTTACATTTGAGTCAAAAAAATTTTTTTGGTCCTGGGCAGTTTTTTTTCTGACCCCGGCATCACGCGTTTTCTTCCTCGGGCAGCAAAAACACTCGATTTTTAAAAACAGCTAATAATAACATTTTTAAGCATGGAATTCCACCCCGAATCACATTCTAGCATCCGTTGTTACATTTGAGTCAAAAAATTTTTTTTGGTCCTGAGCAGTTTTTTTTCTGACCCCGGCATCACGCGTTTTCTTCCTCGGGCAGCAAAAACACTCGATTTTTAAAAACAGCTAATAATAATATTTTTAAGCATGGAATTCCACCCCGAATCACATTCTAGCATCCGTTGTTACATTTGAGTCAAAAAAAATTTTTTGGTCCTGAGCAGTTTTTTTTCTGACCCCGGCATCACGCGTTTTCTTCCTCGGGCAGCAAAAACACTCGATTTTTAAAAACAGCTAATAATAAATTTTTAAGCATGGAATTCCACCCCGAATCACATTCTAGCATCCGTTGTTACATTTGAGTCAAAAAAAATTTTTTGGTCCTGAGCAGTTTTTTTTCTGACCCCGGCATCACGCGTTTTCTTCCTCGGGCAGCAAAAACACTCGATTTTTAAAAACAGCTAATAATAACATTTTTAAGCATGGAATTCCACCCCGAATCACATTCTAGCATCCGTTGTTACATTTGAGTCAAAAAAAATTTTTTGGTCCTGAGCAGTTTTTTTTTCTGACCCCGGCATCACGCGTTTTCTTCCTCGGGCAGCAAAAACACTCGATTTTTAAAAACAGCTAATAATAACATTTTTAAGCATGGAATTCCACCCCGAATCACATTCTAGCATCCGTTGTTACATTTGAGTCAAAAAAAATTTTTTGGTCCTGAGCAGTTTTTTTTCTGACCCCGGCATCACGCGTTTTCTTCCTCGGGCAGCAAAAACACTCGATTTTTAAAAACAGCTAATAATAACATTTTTAAGCATGGAATTCCACCCCGAATCACATTCTAGCATCCGTTGTTACATTTGAGTCAAAAAAAATTTTTTGGTCCTGAGCAGTTTTTTTTCTGACCCCGGCATCACGCGTTTTCTTCCTCGGGCAGCAAAAACACTCGATTTTTAAAAACAGCTAATAATAACATTTTTAAGCATGGAATTCCACCCCGAATCACATTCTAGCATCCGTTGTTACATTTGAGTCAAAAAAAATTTTTTGGTCCTGAGCAGTTTTTTTTCTGACCCCGGCATCACGCGTTTTCTTCCTCGGGCAGCAAAAACACTCGATTTTTAAAAACAGCTAATAATAACATTTTTAAGCATGGAATTCCACCCCGAATCACATTCTAGCATCCGTTGTTACATTTGAGTCAAAAAAAATTTTTTGGTCCTGAGCAGTTTTTTTTCTGACCCCGGCATCACGCGTTTTCTTCCTCGGGCAGCAAAAACACTCGATTTTTAAAAACAGCTAATAATAATATTTTTAAGCATGGAATTCCACCCCGAATCACATTCTAGCATCCGTTGTTACATTTGAGTCAAAAAAAATTTTTTGGTCCTGAGCAGTTTTTTTTCTGACCCCGGCATCACGCGTTTTTTCCTCGGGCAGCAAAAACACTCGATTTTTAAAAACAGCTAATAATAACATTTTTAAGCATGGAATTCCACCCCGAATCACATTCTAGCATCCGTTGTTACATTTGAGTCAAAAAAAATTTTTGGTCCTGAGCAGTTTTTTTTCTGACCCCGGCATCACGCGTTTTCTTCCTCGGGCAGCAAAAACACTCGATTTTTAAAAACAGCTAATAATAACATTTTTAAGCATGGAATTCCACCCCGAATCACATTCTAGCATCCGTTGTTACATTTGAGTCAAAAAAATTTTTTGGTCCTGAGCAGTTTTTTTTCTGACCCCGGCATCACGCGTTTTCTTCCTCGGGCAGCAAAAACACTCGATTTTTAAAAACAGCTAATAATAACATTTTTAAGCATGGAATTCCACCCCGAATCACATTCTAGCATCCGTTGTTACATTTGAGTCAAAAAAATTTTTTTGGTCCTGAGCAGTTTTTTTTCTGACCCCGGCATCACGCGTTTTCTTCCTCGGGCAGCAAAAACACTCGATTTTTAAAAACAGCTAATAATAACATTTTTAAGCATGGAATTCCACCCCGAATCACATTCTAGCATCCGTTGTTACATTTGAGTCAAAAAAAATTTTTGGTCCTGAGCAGTTTTTTTTCTGACCCCGGCATCACGCGTTTTCTTCCTCGGCAGCAAAAACACTCGATTTTTAAAAACAGCTAATAATAATATTTTTAAGCATGGAATTCCACCCCGAATCACATTCTAGCATCCGTTGTTACATTCGAGTCAAAAAAAATTTTTTGGTCCTGAGCAGTTTTTTTTCTGACCCCGGCATCACGCGTTTTCTTCCTCGGGCAGCAAAAACACTCGATTTTTAAAAACAGCTAATAATAACATTTTTAAGCATGGAATTCCACCCCGAATCACATTCTAGCATCCGTTGTTACATTTGAGTCAAAAAAAATTTTTTGGTCCTGGGCAGTTTTTTTTCTGACCCCGGCATCACGCGTTTTTTCCTCGGGCAGCAAAAACACTCGATTTTTAAAAACAGCTAATAATAACATTTTTAAGCATGGAATTCCACCCCGAATCACATTCTAGCATCCGTTGTTACATTTGAGTCAAAAAAAATTTTTTGGTCCTGAGCAGTTTTTTTTCTGACCCCGGCATCACGCGTTTTTTCCTCGGGCAGCAAAAACACTCGATTTTTAAAAACAGCTAATAATAACATTTTTAAGCATGGAATTCCACCCCGAATCACATTCTAGCATCCGTTGTTACATTTGAGTCAAAAAAAATTTTTTGGTCCTGAGCAGTTTTTTTTCTGACCCCGGCATCACGCGTTTTCTTCCTCGGGCAGCAAAAACACTCGATTTTTAAAAACAGCTAATAATAACATTTTTAAGCATGGAATTCCACCCCGAATCACATTCTAGCATCCGTTGTTACATTTGAGTCAAAAAAAATTTTTTGGTCCTGAGCAGTTTTTTTTCTGACCCCGGCATCACGCGTTTTCTTCCTCGGGCAGCAAAAACACTCGATTTTTAAAAACAGCTAATAATAATTTTTTAAGCATGGAATTCCACCCCGAATCACATTCTAGCATCCGTTGTTACATTTGAGTCAAAAAATTTTTTTTGGTCCTGAGCAGTTTTTTTTCTGACCCCGGCATCACGCGTTTTCTTCCTCGGGCAGCAAAAACACTCGATTTTTAAAAACAGCTAATAATAACATTTTTAAGCATGGAATTCCACCCCGAATCACATTCTAGCATCCGTTGTTACATTTGAGTCAAAAAAATTTTTTTGGTCCTGAGCAGTTTTTTTTCTGACCCCGGCATCACGCGTTTTCTTCCTCGGGCAGCAAAAACACTCGATTTTTAAAAACAGCTAATAATAACATTTTTAAGCATGGAATTCCACCCCGAATCACATTCTAGCATCCGTTGTTACATTTGAGTCAAAAAAATTTTTTTGTCCTGGGCAGTTTTTTTTCTGACCCCGGCATCACGCGTTTTCTTCCTCGGGCAGCAAAAACACTCGATTTTTAAAAACAGCTAATAATAATATTTTTAAGCATGGAATTCCACCCCGAATCACATTCTAGCATCCGTTGTTACATTTGAGTCAAAAAAAATTTTTTGGTCGTGAGCAGTTTTTTTCTGACCCCGGCATCACGCGTTTTCTTCCTCTGGCAGCAAAAACACTCAATTTTTAAAAACAGCTAATAATAACATTTTTAAGCATGGAATTCCACCCCGAATCACATTCTAGCATCCGTTGTTACATTTGAGTCAAAAAAAATTTTTTGGTCCTGGGCAGTTTTTTTTCTGACCCCGGCATCACGCGTTTTCTTCCTCGGGCAGCAAAAACACTCGATTTTTAAAAACAGCTAATAATAATATTTTTAAACATGGAATTCCACCCCGAATCACATTCTAGCATCCGTTGTTACATTTGAGTCAAAAAAAATTTTTTGGTCCTGAGCAGTTTTTTTTCTGACCCCGGCATCACGCGTTTTCTTCCTCTGGCAGCAAAAACACTCGATTTTTAAAAACAGCTAATAATAACATTTTTAAGCATGGAATTCCACCCTGAATCACATTCTAGCCTCCGTTGTTACATTTGACATTTTCAAAAGGTTTTTAAAAAGTTTTAAAAGTTTTTTGAGTTAAAAAAAAATTGCTCCTGGGCAGCTTTAAAGAAAACATCACGTGTTTTTTATTCCGAGCTGAGCTTACCCTTTTGGTGAGTTGTGTGTCCATCATGAAGTTGTGGACGTGTTTCTCAGCCTTGGTGAGTTCTAGTTTCCGGGCGACCACAGCCACCACCAGGGCTGTGCAACCAGCTCCCTAAAAGAGAATCCAAAATTCAGAATTAGCTCTGCATTCCATGCCTCCCCTGTTTGGAAATATATTTTCCATACTTGCCTACTTCCTCTGCATTTTTCCGAGAAGATCCCGTCCGCTCCCAAATTTTGAACCCCCGCCCCTTTTGGGGACCTCCACCCCATGGGGCAGGGGCAAGTAACACCCACTACCCATCCTGGGAAACTGAGGTCTCTTTTTAGAGCTTCAAACCTTCTGTCTCATCCTGACAATCTGCTCCAGCTCCCTCCCTTTTTTTTGGTGGGTGGGGGGGAGGATTTCTTCCCTCCAGAAAATTGTGTGTTTGTTGCAACAACACACCTTTGTGTTTCTCTCCTCCTTCCCCCCCCCTTCCCTAGAAAGCCAGGCCCGGGTTTAATTAGGAAAATAGATAAATAAAAAGAGATTAGCAGATTAAATCTGCCCACCATGCAATCAATTCGGGGATTATCCTCCCGTCCGCTGTCCGTGGTGCTGAAACGCAATTTCTTTTAATTCGTATTTTTCTCTCCCCCCCCAGATTCTCATCGGTGTAAAAATCCCTGCGTTTGTTGTTTTTCCTTCCTTCCTTCTTTCTTTTTTTCTTTCTTTCTTTCCTTTTCCTTCCTTCCTTCCTTTCCCTTATTTCTTCCTCCCTCCCTCCCATTTTCTTTCTTTCTTTTCTTCCTTTCCTCCCTCCCTCCCGCTCTTTCTTTTTCTTTCTTTCTTTTTTCTTTTCTTCCTTCCTTTCTCTCCCCCCTCCCTCCCTTTCTTTCCTTCCTTTCCTTCATTCCTTCCTTCCTTCCTCCCACCCTCCCACTTTCTTTCTTTCTTTCTTTCTTTTTCTCTTTCTTTTCTTTCTTTTCTTTCTTTCCTTCCCTCCTTTCCCTCCTCTCTCCCTCCCTCTTTCTTCCTTTCCTTCCTTTCCTTCATTCCTTCCTCTCTCCCGCCCTCCCTCTTTCTTTTTCTTTCTTTCTTTCTCTTTATTTTTTCTTTTCTTCCTTCCTTTCTCTCCCCCCTCCCTCCCTTTCTTTCTTTCTTTCTTTTCTTTCCTTCCTTCCTTCCTCCCTCCCCCTCCAATTCCGTTCCTTTTCCCTCCCTCCCTTTGTTTTCCTTCCTTCCTTCCTTCCTTCCTTCCTTCCTTCCTTCCTTCCTTCCTTTTTTCTTTCCTTTCTGGTTGGGCCTTATTTATTTTTTTTTTGCATCCCCTTTCCTATCCCACCGGAGCAATATCCTTTTTTAAAAAAGACCTATTGCTCCCCAAAAGCTGAACTCCTTGAGCGGAATTTACAACCGAGGCCGATCCGTATTTTCTCCTCCCACTGCCAGGACCCCCGTTCGAAGGTTTCCGCCAGCTGCCTCCCACGCCCGAGCCCTCCAGGAACCTATATTTCATCTTGCAGAATGACACCCCTGGGTGGAGAAAACTCTCCGTGGGTTGATCCTTCGCTGTGTATCGAAAAATGCTTATTTATCGTTGCTTTTCTGCCATTCGGGGGGAAACTTTCCTACCCATAGTAGAGGCCCATATTGTCCCACAAATTCCTGCCAATTCAGCCTCCAGCAGGTGCAGACAAGGCCAGTTCGTGATCCCGGAGAATCAGGCGCCCAGGAGAGAATAAAACCGAGACTGATCGTTCCATTTATCCAAGATTGGGTCAAGCAAAGAAGGCGGCAGGCTTGAGAGCGGGAGGCGGTGGGTTCAAGTCCTGCCTTAGGCACGAAAGCCGGCTGGGTGACTTTGGGCCAATCCCTCCCTCTCCACCCCATCCACCTCACAGGGTTGTTGTCATGGGGAAAATGGGAGAAGGAAGCTGTGCTGGGAATGTTCACCATCTTGAGTTATTTGTAAAAATAATTAAGACAAGATACAAATTTTTCCTTTTTTCCTTTCCTTTCTTTTCCTTTCCTTCTTTCCTTTCCTTCCTTTCCTTTCCTTTCCTTTCCTTTCCTTTCCTTTCCTTTCCTTTCCTTTCCTTTCCTTTCCTTTCCTTTCCTTTCCTTTCCCTTCCTTTCCTTTCCTTTCCTTTCCTTTCCTTTCCTTTCTTTCTTTCCTTTCCTTTCCTTTCCTTTCCTTTCCCTTCCATTCCCTTCCTTTCCTTTCCCTTTCCTTTCCTTTCCTTTCCTTCCTTTCCTTTCCTTTCCTTCTTTCCTTTCCTTTCCTTTCCTTTCCCTTCCCTTCCCTTTCCTCCCTTTCCTTTCCTTGTTCCCTCCTTTCCTTCCCTTTCCTTTCTTTTCCTTTCCTTTCCTTTCCCTCTTCCTCCTTTTCTCCCCTCCCCTCCTTTCCTTTCCTTTCCTTTCCTTTCCCTTCCCTTCCCTTTCCTCCCTTTCCTTTCCTTGTTCCCTCCTTTCCTTTCCTTTCCTTTCCTTTCTTTTCCTTTCCCTTCCCTTTCCTCCCTTTCCTTTCCTTGTTCCCTCCTTTCCTTTCCTTTCCTTTCCTTTCCTTTCCTTTCCTTTCCTTTCCTTTCCTTTCCCTTCCCTTTCCTTTCCTTTCCCTCTTAGTCCTTTTCTCCCCTCCCCTCCTTTCCCTTTCCTTTCCTTGTTCCCTCCTTTCCTTTCCTTTCCTTTCCTTTCCTTTCCTTTCCTTTCCTTTCCTTTCCCCTTCCCTTAATTTATCTTTCTTTCTTTCTTTCTTTCTTTTTCCTTCCTTCCTTCCTTCTTTTTCTTTCTCCTTCCTTCTCCTCCTCCTCCTCCTCCCCAGCAGCTGGCTGAATGCTTTAAAAAAAAAAAAAAAAAAACCTCACCCACAGGTCTGAAAACCAGCATTATCCCTTTAGATATGTTTCTCTGCACTCTAATATAGACTGCCCCTGACTGGGGAGGTTTTGCTGCTATCCCAGACCAAACGCCTACGGAAATCACTGGCCTGTTTTCAAAACTTCTCCCTCCCCCTGCCCCCCCGTTCCCAGGTCTGATTTCTTGGAAAGCCCTTAAGTCACGCATATGTTCCCCAACCTTCCCCGGCTTCCCTCCCTCTCTCCTCCTGCCCCCCCCCACTCCCGCACTCCCAACACGCTAGCTAGCGTGCAAAGACTGATCACATCTGTCTCTAGGAATGTTAGCACAACACCATCCATCTTCTGCCCCTCTGGCACTGGGCCAAGGAAAACACGCAACAGAGCAAACGAGCCTTGAGCGATCGTGTTTGGGGAACACGCGTGTGGGTTTCGACATGCACCCGGGGACCCACTTCTAAGCCTGATGGACAAAGGTACGTTCAAGCCACAGTCCTGTCCCCCAAAACCCATTGAGCTCAATCTGTCCAGGGTGCAATTGTGCATTAAAAGGCACACCAAGTCTGGTGCGACAAAGACTGCACAAAAAACACACAAAAAACCCAACAACCCTGAATTTTAAAGCGTTTCGTTCGTTCCCGAGGGAATTCGTAGAAAGAGGAATGGCTTGTGTCTCTGTGTGTGTGTGTGTGTGTGTGTGTCTCCCCATCCTTTGCCTTCCTGGCAAGGCACAAGCTGAGCTCATTTTTATCCGTACAATTATCTCCCGGTCAAGATTGCCTGAGGCCCAAAACAGCGGCGATCGCCCTAAAATGACACCAGCATCCACACCATCTCTGGATGGCTAGTAGTGAGGCTGCAGGCAGAATCTTTAAAAAATAAAAAATTCCTGGAAGAATTTCCCACCCTCCTATACAGCGGGTCCTTGACTTATGACCCTGTAGGGGAGGCCACCATTTCCGTGGCTAACCAAGGCGAGCGAGTTAACAGAGCTAACTTGACAGGGACCCTGGGAGGCCATCTAGTCCGACCCCCTGCTTAAGCAGGAGACCCTCAGCCTAGACATTTAACAGTAACAGAGTGGGAAGGGACCCCGGGAGGCCATCTAGTCCGACCCCCCTGCTTAAGCAGGAGACCCTAAGCCTAGACATTTAATAGTAACAGAGTGGGAAGGGACCCTGGGAGGCCATCTAGTCTGACCCCTGCTTAAGCAGGAGACCCTCAGCCTAGACATTTAACAGTAACAGAGTGGGAAGGGACCCTTGGAGGCCATCTAGTCCGACCCCCTGATTAAGCAGGAGACCCTAAGCCTAGACATTTAACAGTAACAGAGTGGGAAGGGACCCTGGGAGGCCATCTAGTCTGACCCCCTGCTTAAGCAGGAGACCCTAAGCCTAGACATTTAACAGTAACAGAGTGGGAAGGGACCCTGGGAGGCCATCTAGTCCGACCCCCTGCTTAAGCAGGAGACCCTAAGCCTAGACATTTAACAGTAACAGAGTGGGAAGGGACCCCGGGAGGCCATCTAGTCTGACCCTCTGCTTAAGCAGGAGACCCTCAGCCTAGACATTGAACAGTAACAGAGTGGGAAGGGACCCCTGGAGGCCATCTAGTCCGACCCCCTGCTTAAGCAGGAGACCCTAAGCCTAGACATTGAACAGTAACAGAGTGGGAAGGGACCCTGGGAGGCCATCTAGTCCGACCCCCTGCTTAAGCAGGAGACCCTAAGCCTAGACATTTAACAGTAACAGAGTGGGAAGGGACCCCTGGAGGCCATCTAGTCCGACCCCCTGCTTAAGCAGGAGACCCTAAGCCTAGACATTTAACAGTAACAGAGTGGGAAGGGACCCCTGGAGGCCATCTAGTCCGACCCCCCTGCTTAAGCAGGAGACCCTCAGCCTAGACATTTAACAGTAACAGAGTGGGAAGGGACCCTGGGAGGCCATCTAGTCCGACCCCCCTGCTTAAGCAGGAGACCCTCAGCCTAGACATTTAACAGTAACAGAGTGGGAAGGGACCCTGGGAGGCCATCTAGTCCGACCCCCTGCTTAAACAGGAGACCCTAAGCCTATCAACTCCAGTCCGTGTCTATTAAAACGGAAGGCTTTCCCCCTCCCCACCTCCTCCCCTTCCCCCCCCCCCCCGGAGATTAAAAGCAAAACCTGCCTGAGCATAACAGATTCTGTAATTAACAGATCTGGATCTCAATTCTGGAGCATTCTTGGAAATGGCCAATTGCACCGAGGATTTGCACGCCAGCCTTGCGCCTCT